AAGGAAGGAAGGAAGGAAGGAAGGAAGGAAGGAAGGAAGGAAGGAAGGAAGGAAGGGAGGAAGGGAGGAAGGAAGGAAGGAATGCTGTGATCCATCTTAGGGCTGCATTTGCACAGGGGTTTTGAGGCAGGATTTGCAGTGGCCCTGCAGGATGAGCAGCCAGCACGAGCTGCACGTGGGCAGCCCGGGGATGTCACTGCTGTCACTGCGAGGGCTCTGCTGCTCCTGCTTTCCCCACAGCCCCAGCTGCAAATTTAGCAACAGCGCCTGAGCTTCTCTTTGTGCTCTCCCACGTCCTGCCCTGCCACAACTCCTGGCTGCGTGCGGTTCTTCAAAAGCTCTGCTTAGCAACCTGGCAGCCTGCGGGCTGCAGAGCCGGGAGCCGGCTCCTGCCAGTCCCCTCCTGCCATTCCAGTCCCCTGCTGCCATCCCTGCTCCTGCCAGTCCCCTCGTCATTCCATCCTCACTCCTTCCGTTCCAGTCTCCTCCTGCCATGCCTGTTCCTGACATTCCATCCTCACTCCTTCCATCCTCACTCCTGCCATTCCCACTCCTGCCATTCCTGCTCCTGCCATCCCTATTCCTGACGTTCCATCCTCACTCCTTCCATTCCTGCTCCTGTCAGTCCCCTCTTGTCATTCCATCCTCACTCCTGCCATTCCCACTCCTCTCATTCCCACTCCTGCCATTCCCACTCCTCTCATTCCCACTCCTGCCATTCCCACTCCTCTCATTCCCACTCCTGCCATTCCCACTCCTCTCATTCCCACTCCTGCCATTCCCACTCCTCTCATTCCCACTCCTGCAATTCCCACTCCTCTCATTCCCTCTCCTGCCATTCCCACTCCTCCAGCAGGGAACCCAGAGCCAGCCCAGGTCCCTGCTCCCGCTCAGCACCGCCCAGGGCCCGGTGACCACAGTGACACTTGTGTCACCTCCCGGCAGCCCCGGAGCCGTGGGAGCCCCATCCCTGCTGCTGCCACTGGGAATATTCCTGTGGAGCAGATCCAGGAGCAGAGGAGAGGTAATTTCAGAGCCCTCAGCAAACCTCCTGAGGCATCCAGAGTCCCCCAGAGGGAAGCAGGTGAGACTCCAGCAGGCATCACACGAGAGATACGGATCTAGCGTGGTTTATTTTATAAAAATATCTCCTCTCCCTTTGTGGAAGGGACGGCAAAACAAAGCAGGGGAGCTCCGAGTCCCTTCTCCCAGCGCTCCCAGCCCCGTCTTCCACAGCAGAGCCACCCCAGGAGCAGCAGGGACTCTCTGGAGAACTGAGATTGATTGGATTGAGGACGAGACCCGAATCTTCTCACTCCAAAATCTGGAGACTCTTCCAGCTCCCCTTTGCCTGCGGCTGGGAGCAGAGGGAGGCAGGACGGGGCAAGCCCAGGGCGAGCAGGGAGGGCTGGGAGAGTCTGGGGCGAGGGAGAGGAGCCCAGGGGGACAGGTAAAAGCACGAGAGGGGCGTGAGTCAGGCTGGCACGGGGCCTGTGCGCAGAGCCCCGCGGCAAAGGGGGCACGGAGCCAACCCCAGGCAGGAGAAAAGGCACTGGAACAAAAGGCAGCCCCAAATGGGCTGGGACAGAGCTGCCTGCTCCTCCTGCAGCATCACCCTGAGCTGGGCTGTCCTCCTGGCTCACCTGGGCACAGCTGGGCACATCTGGGTACACCTGGGCACAGCTGGGCACAGCTGGGTACACCTGGGCACACCTGGGCACACCTGGGGCACACCTGGGCACACCTGGGGCACACCTGAGCACATCTGGGCACATCTGAGCACACCTGGGGCACACCTGAGCACATCTGGGTATACCTGGGGCACATCTGGGTATACCTGGGGCACACCTGGGCACACCTGGGGCACACCTGAGCACATCTGGGTATACCTGGGTCACATCTGGGTATACCTGGGGCACACCTGGGCACACCTGGGGCACACCTGAGCACATCTGGGCACACCTGGGGCACACCTGGGCACACCTGGGGCACACCTGAGCACATCTGGGCACACCTGGGGTACACCTGAGCACACCTGAGCACACCTGAGCACATCTGGGCACACCTGGGGTACACCTGGAGCACACCTGGGCACATCTGGGCACACCTGGGCACACCTGGGCACACGCAGACACACCCCAGGCTGGATTGGGACCCCTGCAGTGACTGCAGGAGAAACCAGGACATTGTGGGATGATGACGCCTCAGTGCAGCCTCAGAGGAGGGCAGGGCCCTGCCCCGTCCATCTCCGGCTCCCCCAGGGGCTGCCTGAGCCTCCCCAAATATTTCAGAGTAAAAATCTTTAATGAATAAATGATTTTCAGCTGCCCTGCTCGTCTTCCCCTGCAGCCACGCTGCTGGGACACCAACACCAACATCTCCAGCTCCATCCCAAGGATCCCTTCCCAGCCAGAACTTTGGTGTCCCACCCGGAGCTGCTTCTCCCCACCCTTGGAGCACATCCAAGCTTGTCCCTTGTCCCAGCAGGGCTGCAGGGAACAACCCCTGCCCTCCAGAGAAGGGCTGAGCCCATCTCCCTGACCTGTTCTGGGTACAACTCTTCACCACGGCAGCTCAAGGGCAGCTCCTTGGGGCAGCAGAGCAGAGCCCAGAGCCTGCAGGCACCAAAATCCAGCACAGCCCCGTGGAAATCAGCTCCTGACGCCCATCCCGTGTTTGTACAAGCACCTCGTTCCCTCCCAGATGTTTGCAGAAGCTCAGGGAGCTGGCACCGAGGTGAGGAGCTGGCCTTTAATTAACCAAAAGGCAAATAGGAGGAGGAGGACGTCAGCAGCCTGCTCTGCTCCCCTGGCAGGAGCTCTCAGCTCCTCCGGGCTCCTCACGCGCCCGTGTCTCCTTGGGAATGTCCTTCTGTGCTGGAAAGGGCTCTGCTGGCGCTGCTTTCTGCTCTCCTGCTCCCTTTGGGGCTCCACAAAATCCATCTCCTGTCCCTCTCAAGCACGCAGAGGACGCCATGGAGGGAGCCAGCCAGCTGGGAGACCCCCAGCACCAAAATGAAGCAGATTTAGGGACAAAACAACCACACTGGAAAATGTCAATATCTGCTCCAGCCCCCACAGACCCCCATCCATCCCTGTTCCATCAGGGATGCAGGGACAGCACACAGGGAATGGCTCCCTCTGCCAGAGGGCAGGGTTGGATGGGATATTGGGAATGAATCCCTCCCTGTGAGGGTCAGGAGGGGCTGGGATGGAATTCCCAGAAAATCCGTGGCTGCCCCATCCCTGGAAGTGTCCAAGGCCAAGCTGGAGCAGCCTGGGATGGTGGGAGGTGTCCCTGCCCATGGGATGAGCTCTAAGGTCCCTCCCGACCCAAACCACGCTGGGATTCTGGGATTCTGAAACGCCTGATCCCAGTTTTACAGCGTGACTTTCCCACACACAGCCCAAATCCAGGCCGATTTCCATCACTTGTATTTCAAAGAGAGCCAGAAACAGCTCGGGAATTTCATCACTGGTGAAAGGAGGGACAACCAAATCTCCTGTCGTCTGTTCAGGGGTCGCTTCCCCCTCCTCCCTGCGGAGGCTCCGGCACCTCCCGGCCTCGCTGGCAGGGATGAGCAGCAGGAATTAACTCCTGCTCCTCCCTGGAAGCGTCCGTGGGCTGCAGGGCTGGCCCCGGTGGATCTTCAGGTGCTTGGCCAAGTGGTCACTGCGGGCAAATTTCTTCTCACAGGCTGTGCACTGGTAGGGCTTGAGCCCGGAGTGGGAGCGCTTGTGGCGGGAGAGCTCATCCGAGCGGGAGAACCTGCAGGAAAAGTGGGAATGCTGGATCCAGTGACCCTGGCACAGCCCCAGCTCTGTCCCTGCCGCAGCCTCCTGGGTCACTTCCAGAGCTCCCGAGATCGACCCCTCCAAGGATTTGGAAATGGGAAAGAATTCACCCAGTGAGACCTGAGTTTCTTTCCCTTGCTCTCAAAGGACGCTGTCCACCTATTTCCTCCATTTGTTTTCCCTTGCTGGAACCTTCCGGCCCAGGCGCTGAGAAGGAATTGGTTTTTTGGGAAAAGAGCTCAGGCTGGCAGTGGCCAGGGGCCAGGAGCCTGGGTGGGAATGCTTTCCTGGAGCTCCACATCCAGCCCGGAGCAGCATCACCGGGGAGGGAAGGCTTGTTTTCCTTGGGGCTGTGGATTCCCCCTGGAGATTCCACCCTGGGGGACCCTCACTCACCTCCAGCCGCAGTCGGGCCAGGCACAGGTGTAGGGTTTCTCCCCCGTGTGCCGGCGGAAATGAGCCTTCAGGTGGGAGCTCTTGGAATAAACCTTCCCGCAGCCCGGGTGGGAGCAGCGGTGGATGCGGAGCAGGGATGGGGTGCCCTGCTGGCATCCGGGGGCTGCCTCGGCCTCCTGCGCGTCCCCCGGCCCCGTGACCACCGGCAGAGGGGCGATTCGGACGTATTTTTGGTCCAGGATGGTGCCGGGGGGCTGGAGCGGAGGGAGGAGGGGAGGGTTTGGGGTCTGCAGGCTGATCAGCAGCTGGGCCACCCTGACACCCCCAGGGGTGACACTGTCCGTCGGGAGAGGCTGGAGCTGCAGGATAACGGGAACTGCCTGGTCACCGGCAGCTGTCCCCGCAGCGTTTGGGACGTGTCCTCCACCTCCTCCTCCTCCTCCTCCTCCTCCTCCTCCTTCGCGTGCCCCGGAGCCGAGCTCAGCTTCGCTCTCCACATTCCACCCCGCGGGGTGAGGATCTCCTGCTTCATCCCTGGGGAGCTCTGCCTTCTCCCTGAGGAACTCCTCGATCTCCTCCAGCGTGGGGATGAAGTTCTGGGAGAGGCAGAAGTCGGGCAGCTTGAGCTGAGCCTCGCTGAGCTGGGCTTTGGGGGGCTCGCCCTTGGCACCCCCGGTGCTGCCCGCCAGGACGTGGCCAGAGCCCTCCGGGTCACCGCCGTGTCCTGGCAGAAGGTTCGGTGGCATCCTGCACTGCACGGCGCTGGCCAAGCTCTCGAGCAGGGAAGGGCTGGTCAGGGAGGGCAGCAGGTCCTGGCAGCTCACAGAGACCATTTGGTGCCTCCCCACAGGCAGCTCCTGGCTCGGGAGAGCTCAGCTGGGGAATTCTCCGTTCATCTGCAAGGGAACGGCACACCGAGGTTATTTCCAAACAGCAAACACGCAAACCTCAACCTTTTTAACAAAACTGCGCTGAAAAGAAAACAGCAGAACCTGGCAGCGCCTTTGTTTTTAAAGAGAAAAAACACGGGCTGGCCGTTTTCCTCCGAGGCAGATTCCCCCCAAAAGCCAACTTCTCTGGGGAGTTTGTGGGGGTAAAAACACACCCAGAGAAACCCTTCATCCCTCCCTGTGCCGGAGGGCAGCTCTGCGCTGCTGGGTGGCGCAGGGGATGACTCCGGGTTAGCCAGGGGCTCGTTGTGATCCGGGAGAGGATTCTGTGGCTTCTCCAGGCTGTGAATGCGGGCAGGCCCTGGCACAGCCACGGCGCTGGGTTAAAGCTCCCCACCTGCACAGGTAAGAAGGAGCCAGCTCCCAGGTGCTGCTGCCCCGCCTGGGGATGCTCAGCGGCGCTGGGAGCCCCAACACGCCGCGGTTCTGTCCGGGCAGGTCTGCCCAGCCTCAGCCACAGCTCAGAGAGCCTGGCCAGGGTCAGCTCCGGGGCTCCTGAGGACACAAACGGCGTTTGCAGACAGCTGGGACAGAGCACAGCGTGTCCAGGAGGAGCTGGGTGTGCTCGGGGGTCGCTGGTCACTGTCACAGACCCCCCAGGCCCTGCTGGGGCTCAGGGGGTGGGAGGGAGGTGCCCAAGGACCCCCAGAGCAGCCACACAGTGTCCCTGTCCCCATCCTGCTCTGCAGCACCAAAGCACTCGTGGTGCAGTGATCTGTTTGTATTTAATGCAGAAATGGAGTTTTCAGAGGAAAGAAAACCTTTGTCCAAGTCCCTTAAGAGCCTTTTCCATCAGATTTCTGTGGAGCTGCAAACCAGTCGGACCAGTCCTTGTTATCAGAGCTCCCCAGGGTCCCGAGAGCTGCCAGAGGGAATTTTTGAGCACTCTGGATGCCATATAAATGCTCTTCTCCTTAGGAAATGGCCCCCAAACCTGCCAGGAACAAGCTGCAGGGGCCCTCCCGGTGTGTCCAGCCCAGCGAGTCACAGTGAGCAGGGACTGTCACTGCTCACACCAGAGGTAAAGAGGTGTTCAGGCCAATCTCAGCCTCCAGGCTTGGAATTTTCATCACAGCCCAAATCTGTGCTCTGAACAACCCCTTCCAGGCAGTTCCACACCTTCTTTCACATCAGTTTTAGGATCTTTTGTCTTTTCTTCTGCATCTCCTCTTTCTGCGGGGAAAGCCTCCCCCCTCTGGCTACCAAAGGCTCCTGTTTACCTCTCCCAGCGTGTCCTTAAACCTGATTTTCCAACCAGCTCCTGCAGAGCAGCTCGGGGATCTCCATCCCTGCAGCCCGTCCCCATTCAGGAGAGCTGAATCAAACTCTTCACTCCTCACGGAGCACAGCCCTGCTGCCGGGCTGACAGCAGGAATAAAAGCACGGCCAGAGGGCAGGAAAGTGCAGAGATGGAGCTGCTGGCTCAGCACCGAGGAGATCTGAGCAGGGCAGCCTTGGGGAAGTTCTTGGAGCGCTCTGCTCCTCAGTTTCCCGTCTCGTTTGGGGCAGTGGTGATGCCCCAGCTGGCAGAGCAGCACTGTGGGGCAAGACTGGTGCCACTGCCCTGTCAACCCAATTTTGCACAAATGCCACGAGTGCTGTCACCCCAAAGCCACGGCAAGGAAACGGAGCCCTGGCTCTGTCCCTCACTGCGAGGGCAGCGTCCTTCCCGAGCCTCACTTCGCATTTCTGCTCCTCCGATTTTCCCCGGGAGCCGCGGCTGGCTGCAGGAGAGCAGCACATGTGCAGCCCGAGCACATGGAGAGCCGGACCGGCCCAAGGTCAGCCAACAACAGCGGGAGCTGGGAACGCAGCCGAGGGTCACGGCTCGCCTCCGGTGACCGAGTGAACAAACACCTGGAACCTCCCGGAGCCGGGGCTAGCACGGCGGCCGTGCAGAACCGGGGCTCGCCGCTTTCGGGGCGAACCAGCCGGTGCCGATGTCCCGGCGCAAAGCGATGCCCAAGGACGAGCGGAGGCTCCGGCTCCACCGCATCCCCCCAGCCCCGGCGGGGCTCGGAGCGGAGCCGGTGACACCGAGCCCGGTGCTGCCGGTGGCCAATCCCCCTCTCCCCCGTGCCCCGGGGAGCGCTGCCGGAGGGACCCCCGAGCCCCCCAGCGCCCCTTACCCCGCTCCGCTGCCCGCGGGTCCCGCGGCTCCGCCGGGGGCGGCTCCCGGCCCGCCCCGCCCCGCCGAGGGCTCGGCCGCCGCCGCCGATCCCATTGGAACACCGAGCCGGGAGGGGCACCGGGAGGGGCACCGGGAGGGGCACCGGGATGTCCCGGCTCCGTCCCTGCGAGGCTCTGGAGCAGCTCCCGCGGCCCCGCCGCTGTTTCCTCCCGCTGCTCGGTCACACTGGAAGCGCTCCAGGTCTCTCCGGCGTTTCGGGAAAAGGAGGCGAGTCCCTGCAGGTCGCGGGTGGATCCAGGGGGATCCAGGGGGATCCAGGGGGATCCAGGTGTGCGGGAGGTTTTGGGCAGCGCTCGGATGCTGCTGATGGGGCCAGGAGCGAGCTCTGTCCTTGTGGTGGCTTTGGGGTCCCTGGGGGTGGCTTTGGGCTGAGCCCCACCAAACCTCACCGAGTTCCTCTGCTCGGGGAGAAACGTGAGATTTTGGGCCAGAACAAAACACCCGGCCCGGGGAAAGGTTTCAAATGTATAAAAATCAAAGCGAAATGAAAAATAGAGAGCCCAGCGCTGAAGGTGCGCGGAGAGGGCGGCCCGGGGCTGTTCCCCGAGTGTCACCGTGTGTCACCGACCCGTGTCACAGCCTCGCAGTGCTGAATGTCACTGCCGGGAACGCGCATCAGAGAAGTATCGATAATAATTAATAACACTTATTTATGGACTTGGAGGGGTTGTGGAGGTCTCAGCTCCTCCGAATCCTCAGGCAGCGATGGTTCAATCACGCTTTGATTTACATAAAATTCCTGGGATTTTCCCGGGATGTTTTTCCCGGGATTTTTTTCCTGCTCGGGGTTTGTACCGCACCCGCTGGGGCGAGCGGGACCGGAGCTTTTTTGGGGAAAAACGGAGCTGTGCTGTGCGGGGAAAAACCCGTCCCTTGCCCCGGGGACACCGGTGGCACTCGGAGCGGGGACATCGCACCCAGGAATGCCCCCGGCCGTGCCCATTGTGCCGATTTCCCCGCCCATAAAAACACCAACCCCGCCCCTGCCCCGTGGTCACGCCCATGTCCCCTCCCTGTCACTGACCCCACCTTTGCCACGCCCCAATGCCCGCCCCATTGACCCCTCCCCTCTCAAAGCCCCCCCCTCCATCCCACTCATGCCCCGCCCCTCAAGTTGCGCCGATGTCCCCACCCCAAAAGTGACACCCAGGCCAAGCCCCTCGGCCACGCCCACGCGCTCAACCCCGCCCCCCATCCACTCACCACACCCTGACCACTTCCGTCATTTGTCATTAATTGGCCACGTCCGTCATTCCTTGGCCACGCCCCAATCCACACCCGCGATAAATGGCCCCGCCCCCTGCACATCAGTCATTCATTGGCCACGCTCTAAATCTCATTTGTCATTAATTAGCCACGTCCCCACCACGTCCGTCATTTTCTGGCCACGCCCCCTGCACATCAGTCATCCCTTGGCCATGCCCCCAAATCAGTTTGTCATTGTTTTGGCCATGCCCCCTGCACATCAGTCATCCCTTGGCCACGCCCCCAAATCAGTTTGTCATTGTTTTGGCCACTCCCCCTCACATCAGTCATCCATTGGCCACGCCCCCAAATCAGTTTGTCATTGTTTTGGCCACTCCCCCTCACATCAGTCATCCCTTGGCCACGCCCCCAAATCAGTTTGTCATTGTTTTGGCCATGCCCCCTGCACATCAGTCATCCCTTGGCCACGCCCCTCACCCTGGTGGCGCCCCCTTGTGGCCGGCTCAGGTGTTTTTCCCTTTTTCTGCACATTTTTATTTCCCCCCATATTTTTCCATAAAAATTTATCATAAAAGCTTTCCTCTGGCGATGTATACAAAATATTCACTCTACCCAATAAATAAAACACGAACGTCTGGCGGGCAGGATGTGACCTCAGAAAGGAAAACCAGCATCCATCCATGGATCCATCCATCCATGGATTCCTTCCTTCCATCCATCATCCATCCATCATCCATCCATCATCCATGGATCCATCATCCATGGATCCATCATCCATGGATCCATCATCCATCCATCATCCATCATCCATCCATCCATCATCCATCCATCATCCATCCATCATCCATCATCCATCCATCCATCCATCCATCCATCCATCCATCATCCATCCATCATCCATCCATCATCCATCCATCCATCATCCATCATCCATCCATCCATCATCCATCATCCATCATCCATCATCCATCCATCCATCATCCATCCATCCATGGATCCATCCTTCCATGGATTCCTTCCATCCATCCATCCATCCATCCATCATCCATCCATCCATCATCCATCCATCCATCCATCATCCATCCATCCATCATCCATCCATCATCCATCCATCATCCATCCATCATCCATCCATCCATCCATCATCCATCCATCATCCATCCATCATCCATCCATCATCCATCCATCCTCCATCCATCCATCCATCCATCCATCCATCATCCATCCATCCCTCTATCCATCATCCATCCATCCATCATCCATCACCCATCCATGGATTCCATCCATCCATCTCCCCCAGCCCTTCCCCATCCCAGGGATCCACAACAGGGAATTCACACAGCAGCTCTCCCTCCTCCCCATTCCAAACTCCACAAAGGAAAGGTGGGGCAGGATTCACCTGTGAGGAAGAGAGTCCACCTCATACCTGGAAGAGAAAAGCTCTGAGGAGCTCCTACCCAAACCTGTGGCCAGGCAGGAGCAAATCCTAGAGGAATTCTGTGGTCACACAGGAAATATCAGTAACAGCAGGCAAGGGATGCTTTTACCCAGACTGCAACACCCATTGGTGCTCTTACACGTGATGCTGATGCAGAAATTTTCTTAGAAGAAGCCAAAAAAAGCCAATTTTGTGAAGATTTCCTCGTCCTCCTGCTCCCTCATCTCCTGTTAAAATCCCCAGCTCTGCGCCCCTCTGACCCTGGGGTTTGAAAAGAACAATTTAAGGCCTTTCCCACCAAACCCCATCCCCTGAAGCTCAGTGTGGAAGCACTTTAGGCACTTAAATGATCAAAAGCACTTGAGCATCAGAGCAGCCTCTGTGCAGGGGAAGCTCCTCACATTTACATAAGAAATATTAAAAATAAAGGGGTTTCCAGCCTTGGGTCAAGGAATTTATTCAGGGAATTTATTATCCCAACTCTGGCAATGGGATTTTGTCTCAGATCCTTCCTGCTGCAGCCTGCACTGGACAGAGCCCAGGGTAGGACAGACCCCAAAACTGTTTCTGGAAGTGGTTTAAGCACTGCCAAATCCGTCCCCAAAACAGCTGCGTGTCAGCACGCAGCCCTTGCTGTGGGAAAGGGAGGCTGGCAGGCTATAATTTGAGAAGAACTAAAACAAAAACAGTGACCCCTGACGGGAAAGGGACGATTCCAAACCTTTGAGGGCCCGGCTCAGACAGCAGGGGAGTCACCCGGCCTCCCCGCCAAAGAACAGGCTGACAAAACTCCGCCAAAATAGCAACATTTCACCCTCCAGCCCAACCTCACAAGTGCCTCTGGCTGCCCACACACCTCAAAAAATAAAAATTAGTCACAAACGTTGTTGTTTTGCCTGGTTCAGCCCAGGCAGAGCCGAGGATCGCTGGGGTTTGTGTGCTCACAGCACCAATCTCAGCTTTTCCTCCGCGTTTTGGATCATTCCTGACTCCTGAGCTCCTCCTCGGAGCGTGGGGAGCTCCTGGAGGAATCTGCCAGCAGCAGAATTGTCCCAGCTGGGCCACTGGGGACAGGGAATGGTTCTGGGCAGGGGGAATCGGGCTCTGCTGCCAGAGGGAAGTGACTCAGAGCTGGTGGCCAAAACAACCTGGACATCCCTGGAGGGTTTGGGCCCTGGGTGAGGGCGGCAGGAGGAGCTTTCTCTCAGTGAGAACAGCGACTCCTGACTGGAAATAAAACACATTTTAAGAAAGCCCAAACAGCCACGGGACCAGCTGCAGGTCTGAGTTTAACCCATCAGCAACTCCCCCGGGCCTTCCAGGAGAGCTTTTCCTGCTCTGCATCACTGCCACAGCACTGAAAACCCCTCTGGGAGCGGATTTCCCTCTGGGAATCTGGGAATGGCAGCATCTTCCAGGGGCTGTGCGTGGAAGGAAGAGGCAGAACAGTCTGGATCCATGAGGGGAGAGAGAAAATGCAGGCTCAGGCACCGAGGTGTGGAGTGAGAGGTCAGAGTGACTGAGAACTGTGTGAAGAAAGGTAAAAACAATCATTAAAATAAAATAAAATAAATAAAAGCTCAGAAGTTCTCCCTATCTGATGCAAGCCTGTACGTAGGTAAAGGTTAAGTCACCTTTTGGAACCGGTCCTAATGGGATCTTCCTTGTTTTTCCCAAAACAAGGCACTCTAAGTTTTCTCCTGGATGGTTTCGGATCGAGGAGGGGAAGGGCAGGAGGGCAGAAATGTGGGTGAACACCTGGGCACCCCTTCGGCCCCACAGCCAAACCTCGGCCTCCCCGCTGCTTTTTTTCCCCAGGACATCTCCTCCCAGCGTCCCATCTGCTGAATTATTGCTCAAGAAGTTGGGTAAAACTACAGGAAGCAGGGGGAGAGGACTCAGCTGGAGGTGGAGGAGAGCCAAGGACGGATCCCCTCGCTGTGCCGCTCCTGCTCAGGAGCACGACCCGTTACCGGGGGGAAACACAATCCCCTTTTCCCCCCTGGAGAAGCCCTTTGGTGCTGCTGTGCCGTGCTTCCCTCTGCTAAAGGCACCTTTGGAAAGCACTTCTGGCCCTGAGGACACCGCCCCAAAACCTCTTATTTACACCTGAGATTAACCCCGTGCTGCCCCCAGCCCCACAGCCACCCCCGGGGTGACAGCAGCGGCTGGGGCACGGCCGGTGCCAGACCCTGGGGACACACACGGCCGGGGCCAGACCCTGGGGACACACACGGCCGGGGCCAGACCCTGGGGACACACACGGCCGGGGCCAGACCCTGGGGACACACACGGCCGGGGCCAGACCCTGGGGACACACACGGCCGGGGCCAGACCCTGGGGACACACACGGCCGGGGCCAGACCCTGGGGACACACACGGCCGGGGCCAGACCCTGGGGACACACACGGCCGGGGCCAGACCCTGGGGACACACACGGCCGGGGCCAGACCCTGGGGACACACACGGCCGGGGCCAGACCCTGGGGACACACACGGCCGGGGCCAGACCCTGGGGACACACACGGCCGGGGCCAGACCCTGGGGACACACACGGCCGGGGCCAGACCCTGGGGACACACACGGCCGGGGCCAGACCCTGGGGACACACACGGCCGGGGCCAGACCCTGGGGACACACACGGCCGGGGCCAGACCCTGGGGACACACACGGCCGGGGCCAGACCCTGGGGACACACACGGCCGGGGCCAGACCCTGGGGACACACACGGCCGGGGCCAGACCCTGGGGACACACACGGCCGGGGCCAGACCCTGGGGACACACACGGCCGGGGCCAGACCCTGGGGACACACACGGCCGGGGCCAGACCCTGGGGACACACACGGCCGGGGCCAGACCCTGGGGACACACACGGCCGGGGCCAGACCCTGGGGACACACACGGCCGGGGCCAGACCCTGGGGACACACACGGCCGGGGCCAGACCCTGGGGACACACACGGCCAGTGACATCCCTGGGGACACACACGGCCGGTGCCAGACCCTGGGGACACACACGGCCAGTGACATCCCTGGGGACACACACAGCCAGTGACATCCCTGGGGACACACATGGCCAGTGACATCCCTGGGGACACACATGGCCAGTGACATCCCTGGGGACACACACGGCCAGTGCCAGGCCCTGGGGACACACACGGCCAGTGACATCCCTGGGGACACACATGGCCAGTGACATCCCTGGGGACACACACGGCCAGTGCTAGACCCTGGGGACACACACGGCCAGTGACATCCCTGGGGACACACACAGCCGGTGCCAGACCCTGGGGACACACACGGCCCGCTCTGCCACCTGCTGCCACCCCCGGTGTCACACCGAGCACTTGGCCATGTCACCCTTGTCAAAGACGACTTTGGTTGCGAAGTAGATGGCGACCAGTCCGAAGCCAGCGGCGGACACCATGTAGGCGGTGACCGACTGCGTGAACTGCACGATGGAGCCCATGAAGAGCGAGGGCACCACCTGGGACAGGAGGAAGGCGCTGTCCAGGATGGCCAGGTCCAGGCAGATCCCCCGGCCAGGAGCCCCCGGCTCCGGCTCTCCCACCACCATCCGCAGGGAGACGTCGCAGGAGGAGCTGACGCACAGAGCGGAGCTGGACACGGCCGGAGGGGAGGAGGAGGAGGAGGAGGAGGAGGAGGAAGAGGAGGAGGAGAAGAGGTTCCCAGTGTGGCCATTCTGGTAAGGCAGCTTCTGGTTGGAGAGCAGCCCCTTGGAGAAAGCTGATTTCTTGTCCAGCAGAGCGGCATCTTCCTCCTCTTTCCTCTTGTATTTATGCAGAAATACCTGTGGGAAGGAGGGAGGAGCGTGAGGAAGGAGCTGGGACTCTGAGGGGGCCTTGTTTTTGTGCAGGAGAGCAAAACCAGAGCTTTGTGTGCGTTCAGGGGAGTGCCAGCCTGAGCCTGGCCCACGTGAGGTGGGTTCCACGAGCCAGGCTGGCTCTTCCCGACTGGCACGGGATCCAAAGCAGCCCTGACTCACCGGGGGAACCCAGCCAAGCGGGGCCTGGGCCGTGCTCTGGGGCTCAACAGCCCAAAGCCAGCCTGGGGACATCTCGTGCTTTTGTCACCTCCTCACTGGAGGAGGAACCTGAGCCCGTCCTGAGATCAGCTGAGCAGGGCAGGAGTGAAGAGCCGGGGTGTGCTGTGGGGTATCAGACACCCAGGGCACCGCAAGCAGCAGGGTTTGGGGATTGTGGGGTGGGTGACTGGGAACCCAAGCCCAGAGCCCGGTATGAGCAGCCACTTCTTCTCATCTGGGATGCTTAAAAGTGCCACCAGCTGGGACACAACAGTCCTGGGAACTCAGGGGAGGGCTCTTTTCTCAGCTCTGCAACAAACCTCAGCCAAGCCACCTCATCTGCCTGCCCAGATCCTCCTCACTCCAGCCAGGAAAAGGAGAGCAGAGGGAAGCCAAATCTTTCCCTTCTCACTCTCTTTTGCCTCGCTCTGCTCACGCTGTGAGGTCTCTGGAGCATTCCCACAGAGCATTTGTTAACACCAACACACCACGGGCAGGAGAGACCAAAGCCAGCTGTGCCCTCCCTCTCTGCACTCCCAGCCTTTGGGAATGCGGCCTTCCCCTTCCCAGCCCGTGGAGTTTGGGTTTCATTCCATTGATAAAACATCCACGGGGAGATCCCAGCCAAGCTGCAGCTCCTGCCAAGCTGAACATTCCCTCACCCCCTACCCCGACAGGATTCCTGGTGCCAGTTGGGCTGGGCTGTTGCGGAGGGTTTCTTCAATGGGAACATCTGGATGCCTGTGGTAACAGCTCCCACTCACTGCACGGCACAGCCAACCGCTGCCCTCGGGATGAAAGAGCTGCTCTCAAACCACAAATTAATTCTGCATTTGCAGCACAAGAGAAACTCCCATTAATCCAGTGTGCAACTCGGGAACCTCCTAGGACTTCTCCGCAAGGATAACATCTGTGGGACAGCGTTACGAGCTTTGGTGCTGCTGTCACAAGCTGCACAAGGTTTATTTTTCTTGGAGCTGAGGGAATAGGATGAGCTTTGCTTTTCATTTTATTGATCGTGGTGCTGTGGACGAAAACTGGAAAGCAGCACCTGTGAGGGCTGAAAATCCTTGAGTTTTGCAGCACCTCAGGCTGGCAGAGTTGAAGAATTCACACTAAACCAGACCAGTTTCCCTAAAACATGGGAAAAATATAAAAACCTGGAAGGCCTGGCTGCCCTGGAGCAGATCCCCACCTGTTTGTCGTGGTGGTAGAGGGATGCCAGCGTGTAGGGCAGGATCTGGAGGGCGGAGAAGGTGAATCCCGTCAGGGCAGCGGAGATGGTGACCACGGTGACACTGTGGGACAGACACATGACAGAGGCGGCCCCGGGGAAGAACACCACGCTGGCCAGGTACACTGCCCGCGTCCCAAAGCGCTTCACCAGCCGGTCCATGATTGTCGAGAAGAAGATGGAGGTGATGCACTGCAGGAAGAGGCCCAAGCTGCCCATCCGGACACCTGTGGGTGGAGAGGGGTGATGGACGCTGCCCTGGCTGCCCCCCGGATAAACACGGCCAAGCATCCTGCCCTCGGTCCCAAACCCCAAAAACATCCTGCTCTTCATCCCAAATCCCCAAATATCCTTCCCTCTCTGTCAGTCCCTAACCCCAAAAAAATCCTTCCCTCTCTGTCAGCCCCTAACCCCAAAAAATCCTTCCCTCAGTCACAAATCCCCAAAAAATCCTTCCCTCTCTGTCAGTCCCTAACCCCAAAAACATCCCTCCCTCTCTTTCAGTACCTAACCCAAGAAACATCCCTGTCAGTCCCTAACCCCAAAAAATCCTTCCTTCTCTGTCAGTCCCTAACTCCAAAAAATCCTTCCCTGAGTCCCAAACCCCAAAATATCCCTTCCCTCAGTCCCAAACCCAAAAAAATCCTTCCCTCTCTGTCAGTCCCTAACCCCAAAAAATTCTTCCCTCTCCATCAGGCCTTCACCTCAAAAATATCCTTCCTTGTCAATCCCTAACCCCAAAAACATCCCTGAGAGTCCCAAATCCCCAAACATCCTTCCCTCTCTGTCAGTCCCTAACCCCAAAAAGATCCCTGTCAGTCTCTAACCCCAAAAACATCCCTCTCAGTCCCTAACCCCAAAAACATCCCTGTCAGTCTCTAACCCCAAAAACATCCCTCTCAGTCCCTAACCCCAAAAACATCCCTGTCAGTCCCTAACCCCAAAAACATCCCTCTCAGTCCCTAACCCCAAAAACATCCCTGTCAGTCCCTAACCCCAAAAACATCCCTGAGAGTCCCTAACCCCAAAAAGACCCCTGTCAGTCTCTAACCCCAAAAACATCCCTCTCAGTCCCTAACCCCAAAAACATCCCTGAGAGTCCCTAACCCCAAAAAGATCCCTGTCAGTCCCTAACCCCAAAAACATCCCTGAGAGTCCCTAACCCCAAAAACATCCCTCTCAGTCCCTAACCCCAAAAAGACCCCTCTCAGTCCCTAACCCCAAAAACATCCCTGTCAGTCCCTAACCCCAAAAACATCCCTGTCAGTCCCTAACCCCAAAAACATCCCTGAGAGTCCCTAACCCCAAAAACATCCCTGTCAGTCTCTAACCCCAAAAACATCCCTCTCAGTCCCTAACCCCAAAAAGATCCCTCTCAGTCTCTAACCCCAAAAGGATCCCTGTCAGTCTCTAACCCCAAAAAGACCCCTGTCAGTCCCTAACCCCAAAAACATCCTTCCCCCTGCTTCAGTCCCAAGCAGAGACTGAGGCACTGCCAGCCCTGCCAGCCTGGGCCGGCTCAGGAAGCAGAGCAGCATCACCCAACAAATTCCAGGATTGCAGCAGCCACCCCCCAGCTCCCTCCCTCCCCCGTGGGAGGTGGGAAATGCCACCCCTGTCTCTGGAAGTCACCGCTCTGGCCCCAGGACCTGTCACCTGCTGCTGAACCAGGACCTGTCGTTATCTGATGCCAAAGGCAGCAGCAGCAGAACAAAGGCAGCGGGGAATTGTGCTCGGGCCAAGGTAAAGTACAGAACATGCTCTGAACTGCGTATCCGGCAGCGATCCGGACCTTACCCCTTCCCAAAGATCGCTCAGATTTCAGGGAATTAAAGCCATTAACCCTTTGGAGCGGGGATCATTACTCAACACACGTTTCTATGACAGGCGGCACAATGCAGGGCTGACCTGCCGGCAGCTAAACGGTGCAAGTGTTAAATAATAATTAAGCTGCCTCGAAGTTAAACAGACACCCAGCACAAAGGGGCAGTGTGCTGCAGGGCCCTCCGAGTGGAAAACTGCAGGAGGAGGGCCAGGAAGGTGCCTCCAGGATAAAGGATATGGATTAGGGAGAGGGAAAGGGTGGTTAGGCAAGGAGGCGAGGCTCTGGCACAAGGCGGCAGGCAAAATGGGACTGCAGGTAACACCTGTGAGCAGGTGAAGGGCTGCTGGGGCAGTTGTGGCAGCACCAAAGCACTGGAGAGGGGGCTGAGAGCTGGGAAAGCTGCTGGAGGGCTCCCAGAACCAGAACCAAATCCCACCTCACCACTACAGAGCACAGCCCGGTTCTGCTCCCCACCATCTGCACCCCCAGGATGGGGAGCACCCTCAGCCCTCGCTGGGAAAGGAGGGGAGAGCAGTGCCAGGAGTGTCAGAGCCAGCTCCATCCTGCTCCTGTTGCTTCTGCCGCCCAAGAGCCCAGCCCCAGGCCAGGGCTGCCCTGCCAAATCCATGCTGGCAAGAACCAGGAGGTGTTTCCCAAGCTGTGCCACGCTCTGGGAGCCACGGGAAAACGTTCTTGCCCGGCCTATCCACAGAAAGCCAAGCTTGCTGCAGCTTTTTTTTTCGTTGTTTTTTGCATTACCGACAGAGCTGAGCCCCATCCCGAGCTCCCAGTAAATGTTTCCATCCCGGGGAACACCCGGCTCGCTTCTCACCTTCATCGTAGCGGCGCCTGGCCTCCGTGCCCGGCTTGGCCCTGGGCACGCCGTGGTACAGCCCTTCCCCGACAAAATCCGTGTAGAACAGCATGAAAGTCATGAGAGCCATCCAGCTGCAGAGCTCGGCCACGAAGAGGCGGCGGATGACCCTGGGGATGCGGCAGCAGAGGCCGTGCAGCCGCGGCAGCAGCGCGCACACGTTCCTGGCGGCCCGCAGCACCTGCCTGCCCTGCAGCAGCCACGACCCCCGCGCCAGCCGGCAGCAGCAGCACGCCAGGGACACCTTGGGGGACGTGTCCTTGAGCGCTAGCCCCTCTGGGACATCCCCCTGGGCCGCCTCCTCCGTCACAAACAGCGTGGCCAGCACGCAGGCGAGGAAGATGAGGGCCAGCAGGCTGAAGAGGCAGCTCTGCTGCCCTCCCAGGTAGGGCGCCAGGAAGGCCCAGTCGATGGCTGGCAGCAGGTAGCCGATGCAGCCCCCCAGGCTGATCATGAAGGCGTACACGGAGAAGGCCTGGCGGCAGTTGTCCGGCTCCTGGAAGAGGTCGGAGAGCAGGGCCTCCAGCGGGGTGAAGCACACCTGGCCGCAGAAATCCAGCAGCCCGATGCCCAGGATGAGGAAGGCGATCTCCAGAGGCCGGGGGTTGAGGGCACACAGGCTGGCCAGGCTGCTGGCGTGGGGGATGAGGAAGAGGCTGAGCAGCACCCCCAGGCACAGCAGCCAGATGAAAGGTCTCCTCCGGCCGTAGCTGCTGCGCCAGTGGTCGCTGGCCGAGCCGATCAGCGGCACAAAAACCAGCCCGAGGACAGGGCCTATCCCTGGGAAAGAGACAGGGGGGTGTCACAGGGACACGGCTGGTCTGCCTGCGCCCCCAAAAACGGGATGTTTCGGAAATTTGGGAAGTTTCAGTGGGTCCCCCTGCAGGGAGCAACTCTCCCCGCCCTCACTCACCCCCACCCCCCAGACCAAAAGGTTTGGAATAAAAAAAACCCCACAAGCACCTCAGAGAGGTGACCAAAGCTGCCTACCCAAAACCATGGTCATGAACTTCTCCTCCACGCCCACCTCCAGCAGCAGCGGGGGCACGTAGGTGATGCCGGCGGCCAGGCACACCTCCAGCCCGAAGGTCAGCGAGTTGACCAGCAGCAGCTGGCTCCGGTGGCTCTGGAAGGACATGCTGTCCCCAGCCACGCTGTCCCCACCCCTCAGTGGCGCAGGGCCGTGTCCTGCCAGCTGCAGAGATCCCAGGGATGCCCCCCAGGCAAGGATTGGAGCTTCCCTTCCCGGGCTGCTGGCGAGATGCTGCTTCCCATTTTATCAACGGCGAAGGAACCGTCTTTTCCTCTTCCTCTTCTGGTGGGATGTGGAGAGCCCGGGCAGGGATCCTGCTGCAGGCTTCCCCTGCTGCTCACAGGCTGTGGGGAGAGAGCGTTAACACAGTGAGGAACGGGGGAAATCCAGGGGCCACACGGATGTGTCACTGCTGGAAGGGACAGTCCCCGTCCCAACGGGCTCTGGGAGAGGGGCAGGTTAAAGGGTGAAAGCTCCGTCGGTGCCAGGTTTGTCTTCCCAAGGGTTTGTGACAGGGTTTGGGAAAAGCCAGTCCTGCCCTGGAGGGTTGATGACCTCTCCATCCTGTCCAGCCACCTCTCCCAGACGGCAGAAAGGATTTGGGGGTCTCCTCTCCCAGGGAAATCATTTCAGAGCCCCCTGCAAGGATCAGGCCTGTAGCCACACGGGGCCATCCCCAGAGCCCAGCACGGCCCTGCCTGATGAGCAGGACACCCTCAGTGCTGCTCCCCAGGCTCCCAGGGAAGCAATTCCACCCAAATCCCATCCCCAGCCCCCGGGATGGGGCACAGGGAGCAGATGGTGCCTCCGTGGAGTTTCACAAACAAACCTGACCCACTTTAGCCTCATCTAACAGCGAATGGCAATTACCTTACTCATTAGACTGAGTCATTTATTTGCCCTGCTCCCTTCTCTCCGGCTTCTCCGGAGGGGAGAGGCCAGGGGATGGGGCAGGGGCTGGGCCAGGAGGGAGCAGGAGCTCGGAGGTCCCCGGCAGCCAGCCCAGCAGGATCTGCTCCCAGCTCCTGGGGCAGTGGCCTGGTGACACCCCGAGCCCCCCTCGCTGCCCAGGTGTGTGCTGGCAGGCACAGACCGGACGGTTTTGTCACTTTTCTCTCCCTCCCCGTGTCACCATCAGCTGATAACCCACCAGGGGGTGGCTGGGGGAGGCTGGCAGGGTGGGGATGAGGCTCAGCCATCGCTCCCTGCCTCTTGCTGCTGCGGAGAAATGCCACTCCTGAGCTCGGGAGCTGCCGGTACCGCTCGATAAATACCAATTATTCCCCTTTTGGGACCCTTCACCTCACAGAAGATCCCTCTTTTCCACATTTAAACACCTTGCCCAAGGTCAAACAGCAAACAGAGGGGGAACAGCAACGGTTTTGCTTCAAGCACCAGAGGCTTTGAAGGCTCAGCAGCCACAGGAGGGCTGAGCATCCCTCCAGAGCATCCCTCCACCTTGCTCAGATGTGGCTCACACACAGGATGTGTCAGCCTGGCTCGGTTAGGAGGGTGCCCAGCTGCATCCCAGCCCTGGGAGGAGGAATTCCAGCCCCAGCAGCACAAACCCAGAGTCACAAAATGAACCGAGCCTCCGCGGCTCAGAGCCGGCCCTCGGCGGGGGATGTAGTGTCCGCTGTAAGAGAGGGGGAGTTATCCCGAAATAAACCCCAAAAGATGCTTCACACAGATTAAAAATTGTTTTTTTCCCTTTTATGGCTGTGCCAGAGCACTGGGGAGGCAGCAGGGATCTGATCTGTCCATCTGCCTGAGGATTCCAGTGTGGAGGCAGAGCTGGATTTCTTGTCTGCAGGTAGGAGCAGACCTCTCCTCCCTCTCCACACCCTCAGAGGGCTTTAACGAGAAAATAAATCCCTGGAGGGATAATCACAAACAGCCAGAGAAGTCTCAACTGCAATAAAGCTGCAGATAAAACTGCAGCAGATCATGAACTTTATCCCAATACCCATTAATTACTGTGAATTTTTCCCACAGAAGAGCGACACAGAAAAGTGCTGAGCAGGAAAATCACCTGAACTGCTGATTTGTGAGGACAGAGGGGCTGGAGAAGGGAGGTTTGGGAGGCTCAGGGAGCCAGGACTCACCTGGTTCCTGGCAGGTGCACTCAGCTGAGTGTTTGCAGGGCAGCAGAGGTGGAACCCAGCGCAGGTTTGGTTTCAGGGCCCTCCCTTTCTGCTGATAACAGCGGAGTTATTGACACCACACGCCTGGGCCCCTCGCTCAGGGCTGAGCAAACGCTGCTGCCACCCCCCCAAAGGGAGCTGCCCTGAGGAAACCCCAGCTCTGGGCTCACACCTGACTTCTGCCCCCCAAAAAAACCCTGATATTTGTATTTATCACCCTCCCTCGCTGGGCTGTGGTGCAGATTCAGGACCAGGGGTTGGTGTTTTCTTTTTAAACCAACACCACGTCCCTGCAGCTTTGCAGGTGACAGGCTGGCCCTGAGTGACAGCCCCAGCAGCAGCAGCAGCAAGATCAAACAGCCTTTCCTCAAACCCCAAATCCAACCTTTCCCAGGGGGATTTATCCCCTGGACTCTGTTTGGCTCTGGCGTGGAAGGAGTCAGGAAAATCCATCCCCAGCTGGGAGATTCCAGCAGCACCCTGCCCATCCCAGAGGGGTTTTGGAGATGTTTCACAGCCCCACGGGGGCAGCTGGTCCAGGTGACCCTGGCACTTCTCCCCCTCCAGCCTCAGTTTCCCCAAATTCCCACATCAGGAACAGAATTTGTCCTTTCCTGCTCAAGGAGCACCTTGACAAAGACAACAGCAGCCCCCAAAAAAAGGGATTTTTGGATGTTTCCTGCACTTGGGAGCAGAAGGGAGCCACATGTGGGGCATTTCCTGGAGCTGGCGTGCCACGGGACATCAGCTGCTCTTCCTTCTCCCTCCCTGGGGAAAACCAAACCATCTCCACGGCCTCCTGGGTTGTTTTTAAAGCTCACAAACGCAACTTTTCCTCCCCTTTCCCTGCAGAGAAACAGGAGATCAACTCCTGGAGGCTGCCTCACCTGGTAGCCAGGTGGGAGGGCGGGTCCAGGGCAGGAGCAGAGCGGTGCTGGACAAAGGCAGAGCAGAGGATGAAGCCAGGGAAGATTTTAGGAAAAACCAACCCCAAAACACCTGGAAAAGGTGCAGGGCATTGATGGACACACACAAAGAGGATTCTCCTCCTCCCAATCTCCTAAATCTTCCCAGCACAGGGTCCTAGAGGAAATCACATCTCAGCAGTGTTTAGAGTGAAGAGTGAGGGCTGGCTATTTCAAAATTAAAATGTGGGTGTACATGGCAGAGAAAAAAACTGATTTATTCCTGGAGGAATCCATGTCCTGCTACTCCATAATCCCCGGAACCAGTGCAGAGGGAGAAAGAGATGACGTTAAATGTGGTTTTAGGCTTTGATTTGTGGTGGTTGTGCACCTCCTCCACAGCTCAACTAACAGCAGTGACCAGCCAGCAGAGAATTTGATTCAGGGTGAGGATGCTGAGGCACTGGAATGGGTTTCCCCACCCCTGGAAGTGCCCAAGCCCAGGCTGGAACATCCTGGGATGGTGGAAGGTGATCGTGCATGTGGCATGGGAGTGGAACAAAATGAGATTTTAAACCTCTTCCGACCCAAACCACTTGATGGTTTTATTATTAAATATTTCTGACCTGTCAGGGCTGCCTTTTTCCCTTAGGAAAGGAAATCCCTTGGCTCAGGTGGGGCTGCTCCAACCCAGCCGCCCCCAGGACTGATCCTCACCTTCCCTGCCCACGCCAGGTTTGGCACCCAGAGAGAGGGAAAGGCAAAATCTTCCCTCTCACAACCCCAAACATTCCATCTCCAACCTTCCCAGGGGCTCTTTGTGAATTCCCTGGGAGCCCTCTGGAAGAAGGGGTGGGAGAGAGCTCAGGGGGAGCGAGCTGGGGGAGCTTTCACAGCTCTCAGCGCCCATTCAGCGGCGCTGAATGGGAAATGCAGCATGGAGAATAGCTCTGGCAGGCTCCTCGGGATGCGATGGAAAACCCACCTGACCTCTCCTGACCCCCTCCCCTCCCAAATCTCCTTGACCCCATTCACAGGGAGAGGGAGGGGAGAGGGGTGAGGTATTTGGGCTCTCTGAATTAACTCTGCGTTTCCACCCTTAGGGAAAGAGCAGCAGGCACTGGAGATCCCCTCCGGGGAGAGCAGACCCCGGTGGGTTTGGGATTCCCTTCCCCGGGTTTGGGATTCCCTCCCTCGGGTTTGGGATTCCCTCCCTCGTGGCCCAGGGCAGCCGGGATCTGTCAATCCATGGAGATGCTGCAGGAGCTCCCAGAGCCACGGGAAGGGCCGTTCCCGATGGCAGCTCCAAATTCCACACTGGGAAACCTTGGATTTGCTGTGGGGGGGCAGCTCTCTCCTGCCTCGCACGTCCAAGGGGATCCTGCTGCTCCCAGGGCTAAAATCCCGAGCTCTCCAGGCCCTTCTGAGGCACGGAGGGATCCCTGGCACAGACAGCTGAGAGCAATTCCATTTGGGAATGTTTGCCAGGGTGGAGAAAGCTCTGTGCTGCCTGCCCTTCACCCAGGTACCTCACACTGCTTTGGGGAGCCGTGCCAACAACTCCAGGGATGCTTTAACCTCATCCCAGAGAGCATCACACACAGCACAGCTCTGTCCCACAGCCTGCACCCTCCTCTGGCCAAGAGCTGCTCCTGCCAGAGCCTTCCTCCCACATCCAGCCAGGCCTCCTCCTCCTCCTCCTCCTGCCCCAGCAGAGGCCGCAGTGACACCCGTGGAGCTCTGAGGGACAGACGGGAGCCCAGGGCCACGGCAGAGCTTCCCTGGGCTTCCCCCGCGGCTGCCCGGGCCAGCTGGGAGCACAGCTGGAGCTGGGAACAGCTGGAGCTGGGAGCACAGCTGGGAGCACAGCTGGAGCTGGGAACAGCTGGAACTGGGAGCACAGCTGGAGCTGGGAACAGCTGGAGCTGGGAGCACAGCTGGGAGCACAGCTGGAGCTGGGAGCACAGCTGGAGCTGGGAACAGCTGGAGCTGGGAGCACACCTGGAGCTGGGAGCACACCTGGAGCTGGTGGCACAGCTGGAGGCACAGCTGGAGCTGGGGGCACAGCTGGAGCTGGGAGCACACCTGGAGCTGGTGGCACAGCTGGAGGCACAGCTGGAGCTGGGAGCACAGCTGGAGCTGGGGGAACAGCTGGAACTGGACACCCCGAGTGCAGCAGGGGCCAGGGCTGGTTGGGGTGACGCTCAGTTCCTCAGGGGCACCCCACAGACGAGCTCAGCTCCGCACCGCTGGGCGTTGGGCCGCACTGAAGCCCAGCTCAGCTGCAGAGGGATC